AACCCCTAAACCCCTGAAACCCTAAAGCCTTGCAGCAGGCCCTGAAGCCTGAACCCTTGCGGACCCTGCACCCCAACATGGGTAGGCTCTCTAGTTTAGGGTTTAGGGTTTAGGGTTTCGGGTAGATCTTCAAATTAGGGTTTAGAGTTTAGGGTTTATAGGGTAGTTCTATAGATTTGGGTTTTGAGTTTAGGGCTTAGGGTAGTTCTCTAAATTAGAGTTTAGGGGTGAGGGTTTAGGGCAGTTCTCTAAGTTAAGGTTTTAGGGTTAGGGTTTAGGGTAGTTCTCTAAATTAGGGCCCCTTTTAGGGTCCTTCTTAAAAGGCCGCCGTACTGTTTTTGGGGGCCTAAAAAGGGAACCCTCAGTTAGAGAACTACCCGCCTCCTAAGCCTCAAACCCTAAATTAAACCCTACTAAGGGCCCCAAAACACTAAACTCTGGAAGCCTTCGCCCCCCTTAAGGACCCCTTGCACCCTAAACCCTAAACCCTAAACCCTGAACCTTAAACCCTAAATCCCTATACCATAAACCTAAATCCCTAAACCCTAACACCCTAAACCCCTAAACCCTGAAACCCTACTCCCTAAACAGAACTCTCATAAGGCCCCTCTGTAGAACCTTTACAGAAACCCCCGAAACAGTTCTGACCCAAAAGCTTTCTGCCACGTCGCAGGGTCTGCCAGGCCAGTAGCAACTCCTGAAAGGTTTGTTCTGCCGGGTGTTCTCACTATTTAACTGTTCTTACTTACATTGCTAGACATTTGGATGATTCCGATTACCATTGCTTTTACTATTCCCTTTCCAAGCCCACTTCCAATTGCGAATGCAATCACAAATACATTGACCATGATTTCGTCTATGACTCAGGACTTTTCCTACCTAGGATGTTAGAGGCGCTTCATGGGGCTTTTACCCTAAACCCTAAACCCTAAACGCTCCCACGCTCCCTAAACCCTGAAACCCTAAATACCCTAAATCCCTAAACCCTAAAACCCTAAATCCCGCAACCCAAAAACCCTAAATCCCTAGACCCTAAAACCCTAAATCCCAAAACCCCCTAAGCCCTATGGGGCTTTTCAAAGCGTCATCCGGGGTCATCTGGGATGTAGGCCAGGCTCTCGCCATGAAACCTCCATGAAACACGCTCGAGGGTTTAGGGTTTAGGGGTTTTAGGGTTTGCTCATGTTGCCGGTAATGGTACCGATAAGCCCCCAACACCAAGCTGAACGAAGAGCTAGCCGGAACCCTCAATTGTAACTGCAATAATGACACGATTACTCTATTGATAAGGCTGATGACACCACCTAATCTCCAATGGCCTCCTTCCTAACTCCAAACCCTCAATCCTGAAACGAAAAATCGAAATCCAATAAAAACAACCAACGATCAAAACCAAGCAAACCAAAATACATGCAGTCAAACAATCGAACAAACAAACAAACAAACAAACAAACAAACAACCAAACCAAACCAACCAACCAAACAAACAAACCGACAGACAAACAAACAAATACAAACACACACACACAAACAAACAAACAAACAAACAAACAAACAAACAAACAAATCAACAATCAAGCAAGCAAGGAATCAAGCAAACAAACAAAAAACAAGCGAACGACAAAAAACACACGAAAAAACAAAAAAAGCAGATGCTCCCGACCTGCTCCATGATCGGGGCCACGTCGCGGAGGAACTCTGCGAGAACATGCTCATCGGGCTCGAGAGCCTGGCTCCCCAGAGACTCCAAAACCCCTTAATTAAGGAATATACCTTAAATCATATTAGGGATCCTACTATAATTTAAGGAATATACCATACATCATATTAGGGATCCTACTATAATTTAAGGAATATACCATA